GGGGAAAAAAAAACTCCATACACCTGGTGTCAGAAATGTTGTGAATATAGTAGTGGTAGGAGACTAAAGGAGATACAGCAGGAGTAAGCTTTTCTTACAGACTGTTATCCAAGATATACAAAGAACTCCTAAAACTTCACAATAAGAACACACAGACACACACCCACACAAAACATTAAAAAATGGGCCACAGACCTCTTTCCAAACAAGATATACAAATGGCAAATGTGCTCCACATCATAAGTCACCAGAGAAGTGCAAATTAAAATAGTAGTGAGATACTTACTATGCACCTATTAGAATGGCCAAAATCCAGAACACTACCACCAAATGCTAGCCAGGATGTATAAAATCGGGAACTGTCATTGGTTGCTGGTGGGAATGCAACATGGTAGAGCAACTTTGGAAGACAGTTTGGTGGTTTCTTACAAAGCTAAGTATACTCTTACCATACAATCCAGCAATCATGCTCCCTGGTATTTACTCAAAGGAGTTGAAAACTTATGTCTACACAATAGTGGATGTTTATAGCAGCTTTATTCATAACTCCCAAATCTTGGAAGCCATCAAGATGCCTGTAGTAAGGAAATGGATAAACAAACTGTTGCACATCCAGACAATGCCATATTATTAAGCACTAACAAAAAATGAGCTGTGAAGCCATGAAAAGTCATGGAGGAAAATTAAATGCTTATTATTAAGTAAAAGAAGTCAATGTGAAAAGACTACATACTGAATGCTTCCAACTATATGACATTTTGGAAAAGGCAAAGCTATGAGGACAGTAAAAAGATCAGTGGTTGCCAGGGGTAAGGAGGAGAAAGAGATGAATAGGCAGAGCACAGAGAATTTTTAAGGCAGTGAAAGTACTCTGTATGATATTACAATGGTGCATGCATATCATTATACATTTGCCTTTACCCACAGAATGTACAATACCAAGAGTGAATCCTAATGTAAACTATGGAATCTGTGTAAAAATGATATGTCAAGGTAGGATCCGTAATTATAACAAATGTATCACTCTGGTGGGGGATATTAATAATGGGGGAGGCTATGCATGTATGGGGGCAGGAAGTATAAGGGAAACCTGCACTTACCTGCTCAATTTTGCTGTGAATCCAAAACTGCTCTAAAAAATGAAGTCTATTTCACTCAGATCAATGGAACAGAATAGAGAACCCAGATATGGACCCACAAAGTATGGCCAACTAATCTTTGACAAGGCAGGAAAGAATATCCAATGGAATAAAGACAGTCTTCTTCAGCAAATGGTGCTGGGAAAACTAGACAGCGACATGCAGAAAAATGAACCTGGACTACTTTCTTACACCATACACAAAAATAAACTCAAAATGGATGAAAGACCTAAAAAAACAGGAAGCCATCAAAATCCTCGAGGAGAAGGCAGGCAAAAACCTCTCTGACCTTGGCCACAGCAACTTTTTACTCAACATGTTTTTGGAGGCAAGGGAAACAAAAGCAAAAATGAACTATTGGGACCTCATCAAAATAAAAAGCTTCTGCACAGTGAAGGAAACAATCAGCAGAACTAAAAGGCAACAGACGGAATGGGACAAGGTATTTGCAAATGACATATCAGATAAAGGGTTAGTATCCAAAATCTATCAAGAACTTATCAAACTCAACACCCAAAAAACAAGTAATCCAGTGAAGAAATGGGCAAAAGACATGAATAGACACTTCTCCAAAGAAGACATCTAGATGGTCAACTGACACATGAAAAAATGCTCAACATTACTCATCATCAGGGAAATACAAATCAAAACCACAATGAGATACTATCTCACACCTGTCAGACTGGCTAACATTAACAACTCCGGCAACAACAGATGTTGGCAAGGATGCGGAGAAAGAGGATCTCTTTTGCACTGCTGGTAGGAATGCAAACTGGTGCAGCTACTCTGGAAAACAGTATGGAGGTTCCTCAAAAAATTAAAATCGAACTACCCTACAACCCAGCAATTGCACTACTAGATATTTATCCAAAGGATAGAGGTATTCTGTTTCAAAGGGGCACATGCACCCCAATGTTTATAGTGGCACTATCAACAATAAAGTGTGGAAAGAGCATAAATGTCCATCGATGGATGAATGGATAAAGAAGATGTGGGTATATATACATATACATACACACACACAATGGAGTACCACTCAGCAATCAAAAAAGAATGAAATCTTGCCATTTGCAACTACCTGGATGGAACTAGAGGGTATTATGGTAAGCGAAATTAGAGAAAGACAAATATCATATGACCTCACTCATATGAGGACTTTAAGATACAAAACAGATAAACATAAGGGAAGGGAAGCAAATATAATATAAAAACAGGGAGGGGGACCAAACATAAGAGACTCTTAAATATGGAGAACAAACAGAGGGTTGCGGGAGGGGGGATGTGCTAAATGGGTAAGGGGCATTAAGGAATCTACTCCTGAAATCATTGTCACACTATATGCTAACTAACTTGGATGTAAATTAAAAAAAATAAATTAAATAAAATGGTAAAAAAAAAAAAAATGAAGTCTATTTAAAAAGCAAAATGCAAAATACCAGGCCTAAAAAAAAAGAGAGGGGTAAGGGAGGAAATCTCTTCTGCTTAATTGCTAACCCTACTGTTATTAACCTGTCTGGCTACTTCCCTTTTTCTCTATTCTTTTTTATAAATTTTACAAATGTTTATTTTTTATTTATTTTCAATTTTTTTCTAATGTTTATTTATTTACTTTTGAGAGAGAGAGAGAGAGAGAGAGAGACAGAGCGCAAATGCAGGGGAGGGACAGTGAGAGCTGTCAGCACAGAGCCAGATATGGGGTTGAATCCACGAACTGTGAGATCATGACCTGAGCTGATGTCAGACCCTTAACGGTCTGAGCTACCCAGGTGCCCCTATGTTTATTTATTTTTGAGAGAGAGAGAGAGAGACAGAGAGAGACAGAGAGACAGAGACAGAGTCAGCGGGAGAAGGGCAAAGTGAGAGGGAGACACAGATCTGAAGTAGGCTCCAGGCTTTGAGCTGTCAGTACAGAGCCTGACACGAGACTCGAACCCACAGACTGTGATATCATGATCTGAATTGAAGTCAAGACACTTAACTGAGTCACCCAGGCGCACCTCTTTCTTTCTTTCTTTCTTTCTTTCTTTCTTTCTTTCTTTCTTTCTTTCTTTCTTTCTTTCTTTCTTTCTTTCTTTCTTTCTTTCTCTTTCTCTCTCTCTCTCTTCTTTCTTTCTTTCTCTTTCTTTCTTTCTTTCTTTCTTTCTTTCTCTTTCTCTCTCTCTCTCTTCTTTCTTTCTTTCTCTTTCTTTCTTTCTTTCTTTCTTTCTTTCTTTCTTTCTTTCTTTCTTTCTTTCTTTCTTTCTTTCTTTCTTTCTTTCTTTCTCTTTCTCTCTCTCTCTCTTCTTTCTTTCTTTCTCTTTCTTTCTTTCTTTCTTTTTTTCTTTCTTTCTTTCTTTCTTTCTTTCTTTCTTTCTTTCTTTCTTTCTTTCTTTTTCTTTCTTTCTTTTAATGTTTATTTATTTTTGAGAGAGAGAGACAGAGAATCCCAAGCAGGCTTTGTGCTATCAGCACAGAGCTACACGGGGCTTGAACTCAAGAACCATGAGATCATGACCAAGTATCAAGAGCTGGACATTCAACTGACTGAACCATCCAGGCACCTCATTTCTTTAGTCTTCATATCCAAATTTCCCGAACTTTCATCTATGCTCGCTGTCCCTTTTTCCTAAATTCCCATTTACTATTTAATCCATTCCAATCTGAATTCCATGCTTACAAATCTTTTAAAAAGCTCTCCCTGAGGGCAACAATGATCAATAAGTCAAAAATTAGTTTACATTTTCCAATCTGTATCTTACTTGACCTCATAGCAATTTTGTTTAACCTCCTTTAACACTGTTGATCACCATTTGAAATGGTCTGTATTTCTTGCATACTCTTGCTTCTGTGACTCCACTCTCTTCTGGTTGTTCTCCTCTCTCCCTCCCCATCCCTTCTCCTTCCATCTCCTTTCTTTGCTTGATTCAACCTCCTCTACCAGCCCATTAAATTTTGGCATTCCTCCAAGTTTAGGCTTAGGCCCTCATTTCTTCTAGTTCTCTAATTTCAGCCTAGATAATCTCACCCTTCCTCACAGTTTCAATAATAGTACCTATGCTGATCCCTATCATCTCCATTTTGAAGTCCATCCCCCTATATCCAACAACATGCTCAACATTTCTATTTGTATATTTCAAAGGAAACTTAAAGACCACTTCTAAACTGTAACTCCTGGTTTCCCCCCACAAACCTGGTCTTTCTCGGATGTTCTTCTGCCAATTCCATCTTAGTAAATTTACTCATCATGCAATCTGGGCTCCAATTACATTTCTTCGAAGAAACTTCCCTGACCTCCCACTGAGAACAGTGTGTTTTTATTTAATGATTTTACTTCATTTTACTGTAAGCCCCATTAAGGCAAGGACTATTCCCACTTTGCTCACTGTTTCATTTCTTTTAGCACAGTGTCTGGCAATAGTAGATTCTCAACAACTATTCACTCAGCGGAATTATGAAAGAACACCACACTGGAAATTTTCACTTTGGTATTTTGTGTGCCACATAAAGTTCTAATCTACCAGTTCCCAAATTTTACCAGTTCCAAATATATGAGTTAAAAACTTAGAATATAGATGGTATAACCATCAAATACATTTATATGCAAAATTTCAAATTTTCAAAAGTAAAATGTCTACAATACTTGAAAAGTCTTCTCTAGCACATCAAAATTCCATAATTAAAGAACGGAAAAACTAAACAAAGTATCAAAACAAAGCAAAAAACCAACAACAGAAAGTTTTAACACAATAATCAAAATGTCAAACATATTTTAAGAAAAAGCATTCAGAATGCTGAGTGTAACTTCAGATTGAGAATTCATTCCATAATTAGAATTTGAGCAATAACCTTTTATTACCTGGATTATTACATTAGTCAATGTACCTTTTTTGCACTTTTTCCTTGGCATCATTTCTCTTGGGAGTCTTCTCCAATCTGCATGTACAAAAGAAAAAAAAAAATACAAAAGTTGCAGTTTCCTCTGGGAATTAGTGGCACTGGATATGACTATTTAAAGGGACATGACAGTTGGTTAATCAATGAAAATAAAATTTCTTAATATCTGACTGTACAGATTTAGCCTAAGTGATATATTTTCTCCTATGAAAAAAAGAGAGTTCATTAAAAAGAACTTTGGTGGCTCCCAGCTGGCTCATTTGGAAGAGCATGAGACTCTTTATTTCAGGGTCATGAGTTCAAGCTCCACTTTGAGTATAAAGAGTATTAAAAAAAAATAAACATTAAAAAAAAAACTTTGAAATAGTGCTATAAAATTTCTACAACTTTCTGTCAATAGTTATATAGTATTTATCTAATCAATTTTAAATATGGAAATTTTCATAACAAGAAAAATAATGTAGAAAAATTTTGTTAATCATGACATACTGTTGAATAAGAAAAAGTTTCTCAGATAGTAAGTACAGGGGCACCTGTGTGGTTTGGTTGGTTAGGCCTTTGACTCTTCATTTTGGCTCAGGTCATGATCTCCATGATCTCATGATCTCATGAGATTGAGCCCCACATCGGACGCTGTGTTGACAGCATGGAGACTGCCAGGGATTCTCTCCATCCCTCTCCCATCCCCAGTCTCAAAATTAATAAATAAATACTTAAAATAAAATAAGACATTACATATAGAATCCCAGTAAAAAATAAACCTAACATATAAATATTTTCATATATTTAATTTTTGTGCAGAGAAAGCTCTAGGTTGGGAACAAAATATTATAGTAATTCTTTATGGGTGTTAGGATTACAGCTGCTTTTCTTATTTATTATTTATGTGTTATTTGACCATGCTGTATTTTGTAAGTTTTCTATAGTTGATACGTGTTTCTTACGTAATAAGGAATTTTTTTTCAAAAGTTAAAATATATGACCACAATCCCAACACATGCAAAATTAAGTAATTCTAATAATTAACCCAAAACTTTATAATTAAAAATAAAAAAAGCCGTGGAAAAGTAAATTCACTCTAATAAATAATTTTGACTGCAGGAGGTAAAGAATTTCTCTAATTTATCACTTTCTTTTAATTTTTTTAAATGTTTATTTTTGAGAGAGAGAGAGAGAGAGTGGTGTGCACATGTGTGCGTGTGAGTGCAAACAGGGCAGGGGCAGAGAAACAGAGACAGAGGATATGAAGTCGGGGCTCTGCACTGACAACAGAGACCCTGATGCAGGGCTCAAACTCATGAACCACAAGATCATGACCTGAGCTGAAGTCAGGTGCTTAACAAGTAGCTGCCCCACTTTCTTTTAATTTTTAAGCACAGAGTTAATCAGAAAAATGAAGCAACATAAAAATGGATTAAAAAATACTGCCTACTAAAACAAACAAAAAAACAACAACCTCAGGGTATTTTGGAGAAAGCATTTATATCTCAAGCCATTTTACCTGAATTAATAAATTTTGCTTTGAATATATTTCTGCTTTTATCAATGACTCATAGGTGATCACAAAAAAGTAGGTAAAGAGAATCCTTTAAGGAGATGAATATGATGTGGAAGATGGGAGAGATCTGATATAGGAGACAGGAGAGTGTTCAAGGGGAATCCAACCTTAACAATGATGCACACTGAAAAGACCAGTATTACTCGTGAAAGCAACAATTCTGTAAATGCCATTTATATTCTTACTAAAGGCAGTTACCACAACAACAAGGACAGAGATGTCAAAGGGAAGTGAGTTAAAATGAGAAGGCCCAGGTTCTAGAAGTACTGTCCCAGTCACCCTGATAAGTCACTTCATTTTTATGGCAATTGCTTTTTTGTCTGTAAAATGAATGAGCTGGATGAAATCTCTCCAGCCTCTTCTACTTTGCCTGTGTCCAAGGAAAATCTGTGAATATTGAAAAAATCTCTCTTAGATATAGTTCTGTTGAAAAAGCTTCTTAGCAAATAAAAATAGTCTATATCTGCTTGAAAGGAAGGTCCATGAGCTTGGCTTCAATACTGTCTGCCTGGATTTGTTTTCTCCTCTCAAGCTGAAATCACTCACAAACATGGAAGTATAATTGGTACTGTAGATTAAAATGGTGATTGTGGAAAATGAAGTGGAAAGCCCAAATGCATTTGGCAAGTCCTATTTTATAAAAAAATATTTTAAGAACTTCAAAAACATTTCAACTCTTCCTTGTTATGGTATAAGAATCTTTTCATCCTAGTTTTCAAAAGATATATATTAGTAATTAATTATAGGAAAAGAGCCAAACTATTTTCCTACAGTGAAAATTCCTAGGGTAAAAGTAAAAAATTTGCCCTAAAAAAAATAGGGGGTAGGGAGATAAACTTTAAAAATTATTTTAACATTTTCAGTTTTATAATTACCTGGTATCCACTCCTCTTTGTACACCTTCATATATCTTTTACTGTATCTTTCAATATCTAGAAAAAAAAGAAAAAGTGTTCATTAGAAAACTGCAGAATAAGCCTGCATTTAAGCCATTCCTTTAAAATAACTGAAAACACCAGGTAACATCTTTTATTTCACACACAGTTTCCTATATTTGTGCCTAAAGTGTTTCTGAACACCTACTGGAAAGTTCAATTAGTATCACACGTTTAAGGAAGTGGCAAGAAGTAGCTGGGTATGAATGGCTGGGAGCGAGCAGAAACCCTAAGCATGTTTTTTAGAATCAGACAACCTGACTCATTTCTGAAAATATTCACAAAAGCCCAAAGCCAGGTCAGAGGGCCACTTAAATACCAGGAAAGAAAGTCACTTGGCATCTTCTATCTTCTTCTTGTGACACTGGCCTCCAGCTCCCAGTCTTTAAATCTTGTTTAACTGGGATGTATTAACTACCTAAGTGGAGATGGAGAGCTGTTTGCTCACCTCCAGTGCTTGATACATACATTAATACACAGTTAGGCTTCTCAGTGAGCTACTTTTCACAATCCATTGAGGAGCAGAACGGGGAAAAGGGTAGGAGTAGGTAGGGTTGGACTTGAGCAAGCCAAAAGCCTTCCATGTCAATTGCTGACAACTCTGCAGGGACCTCCTGGGCTTGCCCAAAATGGGAGAGCCATAGCTGTGGCTCTTGTTTCTGCTTTGCCCACTATGCTGCAAGAAACTCCCTCAATGAGGGCCCAAACCCTTTCCTAGCAGTGTAAGTTGGCATCATGCCATAGCTTGAAACCATAGTTGGCAGCGTAAGTGACAGCAGCATGCCATAGCTTGAAACCATGGTTCATCATAAAATGTGGTTTTAGGAGTACAGCCATGAAAAAGGGAAGTTAAACCAAAAGATGAAAACATAAAAAGCAAGGCCCAAGTATGTACTTTTTCTTCCATGTTAAGAAAATGATCCCAAATAACAGCAAAGCCATGGTGTTAAACAAAGATAACCAAAATAAATAGTAGATCAGAGAGACCAAGAGACCAGGCTTTTGTAGGTATTTAACTGTTTTGACTTCAATCTTGCTCTTAAGCTTTTCACCTGTAAAGAGAAATCAGCACAAATTCCCAGAATTCGCATTTAAAAATTTTCTCCACAACAGATTGCATATTTTAGATAAATTTAACCTTCAGTAGTAAACTTCTAGAAGAATGAGCGATATTGAAAAACAACTACTGAAACCCAGTTAAAAAGAAGCAAAGGATTTGAACTGGCATTTCTGCAAAGATATGCGTGGAAAAAAAGCACATGATAAGATGTTCAACATCATTGGTTGTTTGGGAAATTCAAATCAAAACCGCAATGAGACAGCACTTACCACCCAGTAGGATGGCTACAACCAAAAAGGCCATGACAAGTGCTAGCAAGGATGTGGAGAAACTGCAATCCTCATATAACACTGGTGACATAAAATACTGCAAGAACTTTGGAAAATAGTTTGACAGTTCCTCAAAATGTTAAATACAGTTATCTTATGATCCTAGATATACACCCAGTAGAAATAACATGTGTCCACCCAGTAGAAAATACATGAATGTTCAAAGCAGCATTACTCATGATAGCTCCAAAGTGGAACTGACCCACATGCCAATCAACTGGTGACTGGGTAAACAAAATGTGGTATATACAACCAATGGAGTATTATTCAGCCATAAAAAGGAATGAAGACTGCAGTACCACAGGTGAACCATGAAAACATTATGCTAAGTTAAAGAAGGCAGTCACAAGTCACATTTTATGATTCCATTTCTTTCAAAGATGTTATCTTTAAGTAATCTCTACACCCAACGTGGGGCTTGAATTTACAGTCCCAAGATCAAGAGTTGCATGCTCCACCAACCGAGCCAACCAGGGGTCCTTATGATTCCATTTATATGAAGTATCCAGAACAGACAAAACACTACAAAGCAGATTAGTAGCTGCCATGGGCTAGAGACAGGAGAGAATAGAAGCCTATACTAGTGGGTATAGGGTTTCTTTTCAGAATGATGAAAAGGTTCTAAAAATTAGACAGTACTATTGACTGTACAATTCTGTAACTACACTACAAGCCACTGAATTGTATACTTTAAAAAGTATATTTTTATATATGTGAATTTTATCTCAATAAAATTGTTATTTAAAAAGAAAGAGGGGCGCCTGGGTGGCGCAGTCGGCTAAGCGTCCGACTTCAGCCAGGTCACGATCTCGCGGTCCGGGAGTTCGAGCCCCGCGTCGGGCTCTGGGCTGATGGCTCAGAGCCTGGAGCCTGTTTCCGATTCTGTGTCTCCCTCTCTCTCTGCCCCTCCCCCATTCATGCTCTGTCTCTCTCTGTCCCAAAAATGAATAAACGTTGGAAAAAAAAAATTAAAAAGAAAGAAAATTATTACAAGTTTTAAAAAGAACTTAAGTACAGTAAATTCAAATTTATGTTCCATTATTTCCCTGGTTTTGAAGGCCATGTTTTTTTTTCTTAGAGTGTGTGAGCAGGGGAGAAGGGCAGAGGGAGAATCTTTTAACTTTATTTATTTTGAGAGAGAGAGAGTGAGCAGGGGAGTGGCAGAGAGAGAGAGAGAGAGAGAGACAGACAGAGAGACAGAGACAGAGAGACAGAGAGGAAGAGAGATAGAAAATCCCAAGCAGGCTCCATGCTGTCAGCACAGAGCCCGATGTGGGGCTCGATCTCCCAAATGGTGAGATCATGACCTGAGCTGAAATCAAGAGTTGGTTGCCATCAACTGATGAATGGATAAAGAAATTGTGGTTTATATACACAATGGAGTACTATGTGGCAATGAGAAAGAATGAAATATGGCCCTTTGTAGCAACGTGGATGGAACTGGAGAGTGTGATGCTAAGTGAAATAAGCCATACAGAGAAAGACAGATACCATATGTGTTCACTCTTATGTGGATCCTGAGAAACTTAACAGGAACCCATGGGGGAGGGGAAGGGAAAAAAAAAAAAAAGAGGTTAGAGTGGGAGAGAGCCAAAGCATAAGAGACTCTTAAAAACTGAGAACAAACTGAGGGCTGATGGGGGGTGGGAGGGAGAGGAGGGTAGGAGATGGGCATTGAAGAGGGCATCTTTTGGGATGAGCACTGGGTGTTGTATGGAAACCAATTTGACAATAAATTTCATATATTAAAAAAAATAAAAAATACATAAAAAATAAATAAAAATTGAATTACTTAAAAAAAAAAAAAAAGAGTTGGTTGCCTAACTGACTGAGCCACCTGTGTGCCCCAAGAGAGAGAATCTTAAGTAGACTTAAGCCTGATGCAGGGCTCAATCCTATGACCCTGGGATCATGACCTCAGCTAAAATCAAGTATCAGATGTTCAACCAACTGAATCACTCAGGTGCCCCAGCAAGTCTTTTGAATGTAGTTAACTGTGCATCAACTGTGCATTTTAGGAACACATGTACATTTTTCATGTACAACCTTTGAATGTATCCATTTCATATATCCTGATTCCAGATTTTAAATACATTTTATTAATAAGTTCTAACTTCTTACTTCTGATTCTTCTCACATTTGCACCATCCAAATGATTCTAGATTAGAAATACATTCCTAATAGGTTCCAGAATTGTAAGAAGTGCAATTCTTCTTACACTTTCATCATCAAAATACAGTACTTTAAAAAGCTTTGATAGCTCACATTTGTAATGAAGTGAGAATGGCCCAGCCATCTTCTTTGGTCTATAATTGTAAAACATTTTCATTATTAAATTTATAATTACTAATTAACATGATCAATCCAACAAACTGTTTCATTCCTACACAACCTATTGCCTTTCGATCATCTTCGTCTTTGCCTTCAGCATGTGTCCAGTCACAAACTACACCAAATAACTTTTGGTACATCAATATAAAAAAAGAAAAATATCATCACATGTCATTTTAACGGACTAGATGTTCCAGGTTCTTATCACAAAATAGTATGTAACGAGGTGCTCTTCAAGAAGAATACCATATTTCCTTTTTATTCTTAGAGATATATTGTTTACCCACTGACTCTTGAGTTTGAGAAGATTCATCTAGAATGTTGTCAGATGAAGACTCAGTTTGAGATTTTACTTATACAACGATTTCATGATCATCGTTGGCGCCCAAGGAATTACTGCCTCTACATTCATCTTTTTTGTCTAGTGATTGTGTCACATCTTCCCCTGTCAATTTTCTTCTCTGCACCATTATGGGCAGAAAATGAACAATTCTGAATTCTCAATTGCCTTTTATGAAAGCTAAAACAAAAAACAACCACAAAGACAAGAGTCTCTCTAGACTTCTTTTCTTTTTATATCTTCTTAAACATTACTATAATACTTTGGGCAACACAATAGAAACACGGAAGGATGTGACCGTGCTGACTTATTTCAATGCTGTACCATCCTTCCGTGCAACTTCACCATTTTTCCATTTTGTTTCTGATGTTTTAGTCTCTTTTTCCCAGGGTAGTGGGGGATAACTGATGAGTAATGATGAAAGAGTATCTGTGCTGATAAAACAGCAAAATGTTTACAGATGAAGGAAAAGTGAAATCACTAAGATTCCAAAATGTATTTAAATTTATAAAAGGATCCAATGAGCTGATATGGTAATGCTCAGATAAAATGAGTTTTGTTTTTTTTTTAAATAAATTCTCTTTGTTTTTTAGAAGATCTCTATTAAAAAATAAAAGTTATGGGGGCGCCTGGGTGGATCAGTTGGTTAAGTGACTGACTCCTGATTTCAGCTTAGGTCATGATCTCACGGTTTGCGGGTTCGAGCCCTGAGCTGGGTTCCACACAGAGCATGGAGCCTGTTTGGTATTCTCTCTCTTTTCTTTCTCTCTCTTTCTCACTCTCTCTCTCTCTCTCTCTGCCCCACCCCTGCTCATGCTCTCTTGCTCACTCTCTTTCAAAATAAACAAATAAACTTAAAAAAAATTAAAGTTATGAATATCACTGCTCAAAAATAAACTCCAGCATGCCTGAGTGGCTCAGTTGGTCAAGCATCTGACTCTGGGTTTTGGTTCAGGTCATGATCTTGCAGTTCATGGGTTCAAGCCCCACATCGGGCTCTGCACTGGCAGCATAGAGCCTGCTTGGGATTCTCTTTCTGCCTCTCCCTTGCTCACTTTCTTTCTCTCTCTCAAAATAAATAAACAAACATTACAAGAAAATCAAAAATCAAAATAGGGGTCTCATGGACCCTGATGGCACATTGACAGTTAACAAAAACCAAACTCCATTTATTCAACAGCAGATCTTGTGGCCATATTGCAGGTTAATGTTATGATTTCCATTAAGCTTTTGAAGTTCTAAAAATGGCTTACACAATGATCGCCACTGTCACTCCTGTTTCTACCTCAGAGGACCCCCAGTAATGCAGGAACCCGAGCTGGGAACAATTGGATCAGATGCTCTCCATATATCCTTGCAGCTACAATTCATTAAAATAACAATATTGGTGTTTTTCTTTTATTACAAAAATAATAACTTTCCTTATAAAGAAAATAACAATCATTTCTATAATTCTACCTGAAAGCATTATAAACAAATTGTGAAAACATCACGATAAGAAATATTTTTATTCTATGTCCTCAGTTCTTTGTGATTTCAATGCCCTGAGCCACTAGCCACAAGGTTATCAGGAAACCCGGAGATCTCCTACCCTCATTTAGTTCTTTACATTAATTCCTAAGTCTCTCTTTCTTAAAGCATATAGGTGATGAGTGATGGGAGAAGGCTGATAAAGGTACAGTGATAGAACACCATCCAGAATATAGCTTCCTCTGACAGATGCATACTGCTGTTCAGTCTGGCCAATTCTCTCTCATTTATGGTGTGCAGAGTACATAAACATTATGTGTGTGTATATATGTATATATGTGTATTTATTATATTAACCTATATTCATGCATATGTATGTATATATTTTAAAAACATTTTCAACTGTAATTTTTTAAAACACATTACATCAGAAAAGAAAGGTAAACATGAAGATTTTGAAGGAGAATATACTTGTATCAATTTGGAAAATCCTATAGAAGTGTTTTTTTCCAGAAAGAAACAGAAACGATTCCTTGTATTCTTAAATACCTCCTGTAGTCATCAAAGATAAAGAGCCTGTTAATCCAGGTATAAGCCAACCACTCCCAGAAACCAGCAATGAAATTGTGTTCCCTGTTTAAAAGACTCCCAGATATGTTTTAATGATATGATATACTTGCAAATTAGACCTATGCTTTAATAATGACCACATTTAGTTAAGTCTGTTCCATACTCTAGAGAAAACAATAATTTTTAAAAGATTAAAGTATACCCTAGACTATAATTTTTTCTAATAAGAATGTTTATTAGTTCATTTAATCTTTTTAAAAATCTTTACAATTAGAGCTTTAATTTCATTTTTGAACTCAGATAGATAAAAGCATGTAACACAATCATGAAAGTAAACAAAATCCTCACTTTTGAGATAAAAATATACCTTTCTAAACCACTATATAAACTTCAAGCAGCTATGTTTGAAAAATAAATGAACTTGTCTAAAATGCTTCTTATAATTATAAGCACATGTAATATTACTATATAAGACTTTCTTTTTGACTCTTAGCCAGTTCTAAGTCTTTTAGAGAGAGAGAAAATGGAATGCATTTTTAATACTAATGGAATGAGATGATACTATATGAATTTCTCATGCTTTAATGATGTTGTTTTGGGAACTCAAGGATGATATTGATCTCTCTAATCTCAACATTCGAGGGCAGAAACTGAAAATCAATACAGATCTAATGTGCTAAATAACTACTCAGGAATGGGTTCTCTTCCTCTAAAACCACTTCCCACTCCCTCTCTGAGACTTTCAAGCCTTCTCCAATGGTAATTTCTCCTCTCTGTCCTTGGCATAACCAAGGAGTACACCCTTTATGTTTTCTTATGTACAAATCATAAGTCAAAAATATATTTATGGCTTCTAAAAGTTTTCACCAAAATATTAACTAATCATATTTAATTTTAAATACATTTTAAATTTAATATTAGATACAAAAAATGTTTGTGTAAGGATAACCATTGCATTATATACATATATGAGCAAAAAACTAGAAAACACTTTAAATCTAACAGCAGAGAACTACGTACAATTAATAATGTTATATACAGATCATGGAATAGCACATAATGATTAAAAATCTAATTTTCCAAGAATACTGAGGACATGTGAACATGCTAATAACATGCTATTGGGTAAAAAAGGAAGATGCAAAGAATATGAATCCAATTTTATAAAAACCATATACATGCAGAAGAAAAAAATCTAGAATGTATAATAAAATATTAATAGATCTCTAGCCATAAGCATTAGAGGTGATTTTTACTTTTCATTGTTTCTGTTTTTTGTAATTTTCACCAAGCCGATGAAATTTCTATTAAAAGGTAATTTTAAAAATAAAATATCAGAAAGTTTAAAATACATTTTCTGTTGAATCAACAGAACTATGCTCTTTTATGGTAGTTGATAATTTCTGATGTAACTAAATCAATCAGCACCAAATTACTCTCTGTCTTATACACAAACACTGTCTTGTCTGTACACATTCAACCACATAACCAAAGGGTCCAAACCCACCTTGTTTTTCTTCAGGTGTTTCTAAATAATAAGGCATCCTTTTCATAGTTTCTCTCAACTCCTGTTTCAATGCCAGCATGTATTCTTCGCCCTCTCCTGCTTTCAGTGGCACCGGTTTATAATCTGTATCCTGTTTAAAAGACAATGTGTGTGTATGTGTGTGTGCCTTTTTAATAAAATAAGTTTCTTAACATCCTTTTTGTCTATAATCTGGAAAATTTCATTTTTATTGAAAAACTACATTTCCCAGGTACTAAGTTTTACAATCAACTGAAAAGACGTTGAGCTTTTGTAATCTATTTAACTTTTTAGCCTATTTCCTACTTTGCTCTCATTTTAGACAGTAGGAAAGATTCTTAATTTTCCTACTGACCACACCAACAAGTATTTTGTTATATAGTCTGTTGACTATGATTACATGTTTTAGAAGTCAAGGCACCCAAATGAGAGTAACTGCTTTAGTCCCCTAGTAACCTCAATTAGTAGTGGTGGTATTGATGGGAGAAGTAGCATTAAAAAAAAAAAAAAAAAGATTAAAAGTAGCAGTTATCCTGTAAGAGTGGTTACTCTGATACTCTGACCAGGATGTCCTCATCACTCAACATCCATGATCCCACTTAAAGTATCATCAGTACTTCCCCTTTCACAGTAAATAAACTGAGGCGTGAACAATCTATAACCTCATAAACCATGTAAATGACAAAGCGGGAGTTTGAATCTACATCTTCAATTTTATAAAATTACACACATATGTATATATATTCATGAAATACATATATTTATTAAAAAGTGGAGTCTCAGGGTATGTAGTAAAAGACATTTCTAAAAGAAAAAGACATTTCTGGTATCAGAACTACGTACAGGGTACATTTTCAAAATTTCACTCTGAGTTCATTCATTCATTCTACAGCTATTTATTGGGTGCTTACTATAAGCTAGACATGGCTAGACAATAAGAGATACTATGATGAACGGGTCAAACTTCTTGCCCTTAGGGAACTTACATACTAGAAGAGAAAAATACAAGAAATAAGTAAACAATGAGGAAATACGCAATTTGAGGTAGCGATAAGTGGCATAAAAAAAGTGAGGCTGGGTAGAACAAAGTGTGACTGACAGGATACACGGAGGTTGGAGGTAGTTGGTCTAGACAGGGTAAGCACACAGGACCTCTCAGGAAATCACATCTGAGTACTGCTCCGGATAAAATTAGGAAGTCGTCATGCAAAGACTTGGGAATAGATGGCTCCAGCCACGGAAACTGGCAGAGGAAAAGGCCTGAGAGAACAAGGAGGCCATGTTGGCTAAGGAGCAAGAAGTACACTGGTAGCAAGAGTCAGAGAGACACCAGCAAGGCCATATCAAACACAGCCAGTTTGCCAGCAGCAAGGAATTTCAATTTTATTCCAACTATACAACAACACAGTATGTACTAATATTTCCAGTGTTTAGAAGTAACCTCACACATGGAGAAGAGTTGTTTTCAAGGAAATCAATGTATAAAGTGATTGACATAATGCACACACATGAGGTATCTGTCATTGGTTCAGGCTATACTAAATATCAGAAAAGCAAAATGTCAAGAGCAAAAAGTAGAGACTCCCTGTGTAAGACATCTAGATCCCTAGATACATTTGTCCAGCATCCTCTACTTACACAAATCATTCGACAAAAGACTTTTCCCTTCTGAAATAGGGGAGAAACTGCTGGATAGAAGGGTATCTGGTCATTTATGAGTTTTTCATTTTTTATATTGCAGCACATACACATCTGGAAATGTAAGCTCAGGTTTCAAACTAAATGTAAAGTGAAAGCATTAAATTAAACATTATGCCAATTAGGTTTACAGCATACTCATTAGATTTAAAAGCAACACTAAATGTAGCAGGAACAACTAGATTTTGAGAAACAGCAACAAAACTCAAACTGACTTTAACAAAATAGAGAAATAAGCAAAAACCAGAAACAGCCGAGTGGGGAATCAAAGGCAAAACAGTACACTAGGGAGCAAAATCAAATTGTGTAGATACAAGATGAGAAGAAAATCATTAAGTGAAAGTCTAGTAGACTGAGGACCACTAGGGAGCATTGTAAAACCTAACCTTTTAAAAATATTATTTTGAGGGGCTGGGAGACATGATCTCACAGCTCGTGCAATCGAGCCCCACGTCACACTCTGCTAACAGCGCAGAGTCTGCTTGGGATTCTCTCCCACTCTCCCTCTCTCTCTGCCCCACCCCTGCTTGCCTGCATTCTCTCTCTCTGCCAAAATAAATAAATAAACAAACATTAAAAAAATTTAAAAAACAAAATATTATTTTGGTATTGGAATACATCAAAAATAGCAACAGAAGAAATAGGAAATGAAAAAATTCTTTCTTAGTTCATGTTGTACTGAATGTATTCACGGCAAGTTGTATACAGTTTTTTTTGTTTTCAGAAGGCAGTGTAAAAATTAGAAGAGGTTCAGGGAAGAACAGTGGCCGTGAAGCACACTCTCTTTTACTTTCTTACACTTAAGATATTATAAGGATGTTATATATTCAGTCCTGTGCAGAATTTTAATTTTCTTTGAAAGATGAAAAAACCAGCCGTGAGAAATCTGCTGTTAATGTACTTACAGGAAATAGTGGGGGTGGTTTCAGGACTACATCGGGTAGTTTTTCACCTCTGCCAAATCCAACTGCCTCAATATTAAAGGTGTAAGCTGCACGTCCGCGTCCTTTGTTCCCAGCCATTAGAACTAGTTATACCAGCAAATTCTGAAAGACATCACATGAAAAAAAAGGAAATCAACATTTTAAAGCAGAATATAAAACTCTGTCCCTTAAGTAGCGTGGCTAATGGAAAATACTTCTGGAAAGCAAAACTTGTAAAGAAATAATAAACATATGCTAAACTGATTTCTGAACTCCTCACATCTACTCAGGTCTGGCAGGTGACATGATGATGGCCTCAATTACCTCACCAGGCCCTGGGTGAACAGCTGACCCTGGGTCCCCTTTGAGATGCTGCCCAGACCACTGCACACAGCCAGTTGATGCAATTCTCTCCACCCCTCTGTGATTTGGCGTCAAGATTTCAGACATATGTAAGAAGTGTGGACAAGGAAAGGTCTGGCTGATGAAGACAGACCACCTAGCTTTTTCATTCAGCTTGAAGACTACCACGAGTCATATACACTTTAGATTTTTAAATGATAAAAAAAAAAAAAATCTGAAATAGTTAAATTAAAGGTAAGATAAACCTGTACTCTTTTCAACTTTGGCCACAGTAGAGATGTCACATACTCAAGTTCTCTACTGAACTTCTGAATTGTCTGAAACAGGATTGATCTCTACAGTGTGAGAACTGAGCCGGCAGTATATTAACAGGGATCCCTATACCAAGGCTCTGTCACTACAAGAGTGCAGTTGACTGTCGTGGTGATTATGACACACATCTTCTAAGTCTCTTTTCCCACTGATAATACTGTGTATCAATCCTGCAAGTCCAAGAAAACAGCAATATATCTTCTCCTACCGACTTAACAGTTCCCCTTCCTTTCTTTCCTTACCGTTATTTTTTGAAAAACTGAGGTCATTTCCTATACAATGCTTCTCCAAATTTAAGGCACACGAGAATTACCTAGGAATCTTGTTAAAATGTGGATTCTGATTCAGCTGGCTGAGAACCTGCATTTCTAACAAGCTCTCTGGGATTATCCATGCTACTGGTATGCGGGCCACTGTTTGAAAGTAGCAAGGTTGTAACATTCTCCCATTTCTGAATTTGAGGAACTGAATACGTGAAATGCAGTATAACACATTCCTCTTCGCTGTATTTTCTGTTTTCTAAATAGGTGAACTAGAGGCTTACTCAAATTTGAGTTTAATTTTTTACAAGGACACTTAAAAGAGTTGCTCTGTTCCTCCTATTGTATCACATCAGGATGCAAACAAAACCAATTTCTCTTTCTTTCTCTCCCTTTCTCTCTCTCACTGATGTTCTCTGGTCAGTGGGTTCAGGTGCTAGCAGTCTGTTTCATCTAGCATACAGTTCCCCATCACTTTCCACCTAATGATGTCAGCAGCCATTGATGATCGTAGCCTAGATTCGTTATTCCATTATGGGCTGTAATTTTATTCTTTCTGTATCTACTAATTGGAATTCTATCATGAATCAATTTCCTTATTCACTATTTAGCTACAATGAAGCACAAGTTGTAGAGGAAAGGTACCTATTCTAATACCGAAGCTCATTCCATGTGTCCACACTAAAAGAGACGAGGATATCTAAACAGCCATGTTTCATTGCTGAGTCACTCAAGCATATGCTGAGTCTGCAGAAAGCAGGTCTTCCAAGTATGAAAACTGCTGAGCAAAAAGACACACTCACTCTAAGAAATGAATTGTGAGAGCCCTGTAGGCATGGTCAAGACCACTGGGCTTAATTCCAGTCTGGGATTTGCCCACCAGTAAAGATGAACAATCCCAGGCAGCATTTCCCAAACTTGCCTGATCATGAGAACTGGCCAGAGAACTTGTTAAATATACATATCGAATCTCATGCAATCTTCAAGTATTCAAACCTACACCAGAATCTTTGGAGGTGGGCTCTGAGAAACAGTTGGGAAAACTCACCCTAAGAAGAGAGTATGTCAGCTACCATTGTTTGATGGAAAATCCCTTGAGAAAGACCAGACACTGGAGCCTCTAAACTTCCCTATTTATCAAGTACCTTTGGGTGTATAAACTGGTATCATTAGTGAATGGATTGCCCTTGGCAGAAAAATCAATCCTAGCTCTTGAGACACCCTGAATGATTACATGGCCTTCTGGCCTACAAATCCATCTCTTTTTAGTTTCGCTATTATAAGTCAGTTCTGTACCTACAGACGCTGCCAAATTCATTTTCTTCTCTTGGAGAGCTGAGAGGTACTTCTTGGACTCCAGTAACTGTCTCATAGGGAAAATGGCTCACAAGTGAGGCCTAAGCATCAATCTCTGGTATCCTCTGAGTCAACCACTGCCATGTTCTTCTTTCACCCTCCCAAACTGCTTGAATGAAAGGTTTTTTATAAGCAGCTTTCCCCATTTCCTTATTATCCCAATCTTCCTCTACTTCATATAGGCCAATTTCATTGAGTCATTCATTCGACCAATATTGAGTATTCCAGGCACTATGGCAGAACCCATGAATAAAACCATGTCCCTGTACTAAGGGCAAGTATTTCAGTGGCTGAAAGAACACAAACATGTAAACAAATAAATGTGTAACATAATAGTATGTATTCTTGCTGTGGGTTGAATTGTATCTCCCTCCTACCCACCCCATACCTGTGAATGTGATGACCTTCCTTATTTGGAAATAAAATCTTTGCTGCAGATGTAACCAAATTAAGATGAGGTCATAGTGAATCAGGGTGAGCCCTCTTCCAATGATGGGTGTCTTTCTAAGAGGGAAATGTGGACAGAGGGAAACACACACAGAGGGAAAACACCATGTGAAGATGGGAGGCAGAGACTGGGATGCTGCAGTTGTAAGCCAAGAATACCAAAGAGTGCCAGGAAGCACTGCAAGCTAGGAGAGACCTGCAACAAATTCTCCCTCAGAGCCTCTGGAAAGAACGAACCCTGCCCACACCTTGATTTCACCTTGTTTTCAGACTCTGGGCCACCAGAACTGAGAGAGAATAAATATCGGCTATTTGAAGTCGCCCAATTTGCGGTAAAATGTTATAGCAGCCCTAGAAACTCATCAACACAGCTCTTGAAAAAAAAATAAATGATGGCAAGGGGACAGAGAATAATAAAGGGGCATGTTAGCTTTTCACACAAGGAAGGTCTTTCTGTGGAGGATAAATCTGAGCACCATGCCGGAGAAGGCCTGTAAGCCACGAGATGAAGGGATGAGGTAGACACGGCTGCACAGAGAAGGAGGAACAAGTGCAGAGAAAGAAGCCAAATGCTGGGAGTGTATGAGGAATGAGAAGCCCATGTCCCTGGCGAGGAGTAAGGAACAAGAAGAGGCAGGTCAGGGCCGGATTTTGCGGAGCCCTGTGTAAGTTGAGGTAAAGGGTTTGGCTTTTTACCTCACTTGTGATGGGAACTGGTTTCACAAAAATGTTGAAATGCAAAGGTCCCAATGGCTCCCAAGAGCAAAATCCACTGGCATTTTGTCCTCATTCATGTCTTGGACTTCCAAAGCACATGACTTGCTATGGCCTCCTCCCTTTTGAAATTCTCTGCTTCCTAGGCTTTATTAAAACCTGGGGTTTTTTGGGGCGCCTGGGTGGCGCAGTCGGTTAAGCGTCCGACTTCAGCCAGGTCACCATCTCGCGGTCCGTGAGTTCGAGCCCCGCGTCAGGCTCTGGGCTGATGGCTCGGAGCCTGGAGCCTGTTTCCGATTCTGTGTCTCCCTCTCTCTCTGCCCCTCCCCCGTTCATGCTCTGTCTCTCTCTGTCCCAAAAATAAATAAAAACGTTGAAAAAAAATTTTTTTTAAAAAACCTGGGGTTTTTTTTGTTGTTATTGGCTACTTCTCTTCTTAAACCTCCTAAATATGGATTTCCTTAAGGTTCAATCTTTGGTCTTCTGCTTTTTTTTTTTTTTTGGTCTTCAGAAAACACACCCGCATGCAGGGTTTGATGACCTCTCCCATTCTATTATCTCCAACACTGACCTTTGTCTTGAGTTTCAGCCCATGTTCCCACTATCAAAAGAATATTTGGAAAGCACTTTAAACTTAAAATACTGAGGTCATCTTCCCCCTGCACCAACTGGCTTGCCTTTTAGGTATTATGTCCCTGCTTCTATCCACAGAATGTTATTTTCCCAGTCACCAACACTTGATGACTTGGAGTGCATCAATATTGATTCCTCACTCTATTCTACCCCTCCTATCGAATCAATCACCTAATTCTTCCTTCAAAATGTCCCTTCATTTCCATTTCCTCTACCATAATCCAGTTTAACCTCTTTCTACATCACTTTTGAGGGACTGCAAGTTTTGTGGTATCCCTTGTTCTTCCTATTTGTTTTAATTTATTCTTCCACATTATTCATCCTAAGGCATAGTTCTGATCATGTCGGTCTTCTCATCTTCCCTCTTGGCTACAGGATTAAATCCAAACTTCCTACCCAGGTATTCAGGGCCCTTTTAAGATGCCTGCACTCCTGACTCCTTGTATCATCATGTCTTGTTTACCATTCTCTCCACTACAATCTACCCCATTTTCCTCCCTGCTTAACAGTAGCCCCTTTCACCTGAAGATCCAGTCCAAGTCCAGTCTCCTTGATACCCTTATAGAAGAATATTAGCTGTATCCTCTTACATGTTCACCTTCCTTGACCTCTGCTTTTGTTCAGGACTTTACCATCTCTAACCTGGATCTCTAACACAGAACAAATAAATTCCCATTGCCAGCCTCCCACTTTCAACCCACTCTCCAGTCATCTCTCCAGAACATAAACCTTGATGTGTCACTCTCCTTACCTAACAAAATCCACAGCAGTTGCTTCACCCCACTTTGCTCTGGTAAAGATCCTCCAATAAAATAAGTGCATTTTAAAAAATTGAGGTGTTACATATTGCTACTCTTCAATTTTGGAAGAAATAGAGACAATGCACCTTTTGGGAAATGGGCCTTTTCCAAAGGCAAGGAGTTTCACTTACGTTTTATTTATTTCTTTGGCCGTATTACCAGAGATTTTATATCCCCACTGTCTAGCACAGTGCTCTCTATATAGCAACAGCTCCACAATTAATGTTAAGCTCTCTTTCCTTCTCTTTCTTTTCCTTCCTCTCTTCTTTCCTTCCTTTCCTTCATATGGTGTCATGAGCAAAAACTACCCAAAGAAGTACAATTCAGTCAGCCTACTATTAACATTGTTATTTTCTTTTAAACTTCCAGAACTATAAAGTTGGAGACCTGGAAGTACACTAGAAGCATCAGAATGTAAAAACAAAACTCAGGCTTCATACCAGAACAACAAAATGAGAATCTTTGGAGATGGGATTCAGGCATTAGGACTTTTCAAAGCATTCTCAGAGTTTACAGCATACAGTGTAAATTAAGATCCACTGCTTTCTGGGCTGCCTGGGTGGCTCAGTATGTTAAGCAACTGACTTCAGATCAGGCATGGTCTTGTGGTTCAAGTCATGTGTCAGGTTCTGCGCTAACAGCTCAGAACCTGGAGCCTGCTTCTGATTCTGAGACTCCTTCTCTTTTTGCCCCTCACGCTCACGCTCTCTGTCTCTCAAAAATAAATATGGTTAAAAAAATTTTTTAAAGAACCACGGCTTCCTATTAAACTTCACATTTTGTAAAAGAGGAAAGTGAAGCCCTGAGAGGTTAGTTGACTGCCTAAAGGCACACAGTTAATTTCTAACAAAGACAAAACTGGGTTAAAGCCTCAGGTACCTTTCCATTCTCCATTCATCCACATTACACTACCTGAAACACATTCCCAGGCTAGTTGAACACTTTTTTAATCCCACAGATACTTTTATTAATCTTTACAAGGAAGTGAATTAGCAATGGCAAAATTCACTGACTTTCAAAGTATAAAATCAGAAGCATCATCCTTCCATTTTGTAATGCTTCCTGAAAATTCCTGTTCAGAACTGTTCTGAGCTGGTTTGATGGGTGTTGTTCAAGCATCCAAGAGCTGAAATGCAAAGTCCATTCTATTTGACTGTAGAGACAACACTATGTTACAGGCTGAGGTAATATCTGAAGTTCCTCCGAGTGCTAACATTTTACGAGTTGTGATTGTGGCCTAAATGTATTGTCTTCCACATCTCACACTGTCCCTTGTACATAGTGGCTACGTGAATGAATGTACAATCTGATGTAAGTAGGCATGGAAGCTGGGGGAGGCACCAAAAGACAGGTCACAGCATCTTTCCTGATAAATGACACCTCAATTGTCCCAGTCAGAACCTGATAGTCATGCTGTCCTCCTCTCCACCTTCCTTGATACCCTTATAGAAGAATATTAGCTGTATCCTCTTACATATTCACCTTCCTTGACCTCTGCTTTTGTTCAGGACTTTACCATCTCTAACCTGGATCTCTAACACAGAACAAATAAATTCCCATTGCCAGCCTCCCACTTTCAACCCACTCTCCAGTCATCTCTCTAGAACATAAACCTTGATGTGTCACTCTCCTTACCTAACAAAGCTTTGAGTCTAACTCTCTGTCTCTTGCCCCCTACACACCACACTCTAGCCACTCTCTACTCTGCTACATCAGCTCTTGCATGTAGCGTTCCTTCTGCCTGGAATGCCTTCCTCCCGCATCCAACCACGCAACCCCTGGCACCATTTAAGATGCTGTGCAAATGACACCTCTCTGTGACCATTTTCTCTACCCAACAAGGAGACAGATCTCTCCCTTGTCTGTTTCCCAAGTACTACAGTGCTTTTATTACCCTTTTAAAGATCATGTTGTGATTGCCAGTTCTTGTCTGTCTCTCCAGTAAGCCCTTCAATTAACTATTCATCAGGTATTTATTAAGCACCCTCTGTGTCAGACCATCTTCTGCACACTGGGAATATAGCAGTGAACAAAACAAAGTTTCTGCTCTTGTGGAGCTCATAGTCTAGCACAGGAAATGGAAAGAACCATGTCGAGAACTAAGAAAATATGGACATCCAGGGGAGTGTGATACAAGCAGATGTATCTGTAAATATGAAGGCCTCCTTGAAGACTTACATTTCCATGCTCTATCACTTACCAGAGCCTGGCAAAAGTCCAACAAATACTGGGTGAATTATTGCTGAGCTCATGGCCTAGTAAGGATATCCCTCCATTTCTCCTACAGTGGTTTCCCTCTGCCTATGGGAAAAATGTCTAAACTACAGAAAGCTCTGTACTTCCCAGCTGAGAGCATCCTAACAAACAGTGGTCTTTTAAGCCCTGCTCAAATGCTACTCTTCAATAATCCTTTTCATCTGTATCCTTATAGCACCTAGTTTTTACTTCCTCTGTGGTATGTACACCATACTGTTTTATATTGCAAATAGTTGTGCATAAGTATCATCTTCCCTCAAATTCTTGAGAACCCAAATCATGACTTCTTTTTCTTTTCTTTTTTTTCCCCACTCAATACTATTCTCACAGATCATCTAGCTCAGGGACTTGCATGTAAGGATAGCCCCAAACAGTGGCTGAAGATTAGGAAAATATTCAGAAAAGCTACATCTCCACCAAAGGTTTTTAGGAGTGTAGGAGAGGACAGTACATCTCTCCTATGAAGGTTTATTAGTAGCTGCCACAATAAGGGTTTTCATAATTATTTTTTACAAAGCTAGCTCATGGGTATCTTTATAATTAATCAAATTCTCAAGGCAATTTTTGAAGCCTAACTTGATGTTTCAATAGCTGGGAGGTGCTAGGTGGATACAGGGATCTGGTGTTCATAGTGGGGGTGATTTATATGGCTGGCTGGGCCACACCCAGATATTATCCACGTTTTCTGTTCTCACAAGGTGTGACTGCCTCCACCTTTACTTAGTTGAGCCTTTTCTACCAACTTTCTTTGCTCTCTTTCAAGAGCTGACAAACTAACCAAAAAAAAAAAAAAAAAAAAAATGGAGGGTAGGGGAAGGAATACAGAATTTCATTTTTTATAAGAGCATTAAGACGTTATTAACAACCCTTCTCCCCACGATACAGGTTAGAGTGCCAAGAGTTAAGAAAACATACTGAATAGTCTGTCCTTAGCAGCAAGTCTGCGGCAATGACTCGTGCCTAAACCAATCGCAAAGTCCCCAGATTTGAAAATCTACCATCAGTTACAGCATAAATCCTCTTCTAACTCACTGCAAACAGTCCAGGAAGTGGAGCCACGTTAAGATAGGGAAAGGGCGGTTTTCAAAGATTCTGAAGGGATTAGAAGGAAAGGTAAAGCTATCTCCCAACTACCCTCAATCCTGAAGCGCTTTATTGAATCTCCACCTCTGACTTCCCCCACCTTCTCCATGTGCCCCTTTAACTTCTCTCTACCCTCTCCATCGCCTCCCAACCCCTCAATTGCTCCCTCTGTTACCTGCTCACTGTCTCGAGGCTTGGGTAAAACTGTGCACCCAAAGTGCCGGCCGGCAAGGAAGGGGTGCACACAGAAGGCGCGAGCGCTGGGATACCGGTTCCACCTCTAGAGAAGCGCGCTCCGCCCTCCACGCGGGCTCAGAGCCTTGTTCCGATCCCAAACAGTTAGCCCCGCCCACTCTCTCTATAGGCCCCGCCCCCTGGGCAAGGAGCTTTTTAGCCCTTGGCAGGCGCCGTACTTCTCCATCCGGTTTGGCCTGACTCTTTCGGCGCTGGCTGTAGTGCGCTTGCCGGAGCGCAGTGGGTGGGAGGACCTGGCACCTCCCCTGGCCTCTGCAGTCAGACCCCCGGGGTGAAGAGCGATTCCTTCTGGGTCTCCAGTCTGCTGCAGTGCCCCTGCGTTAACGCTCCTTTGTGCTGCAGCTACTGAAGCCGAGATTACTCCAGCGCCTAGGTGCGGGCAGAGCAGCCGCCACTCTCTGCAGACCTGGCTGGAGGGTGCGTGCAGACTCTCCAGGCCGCGACTCGGCGCGTCCTTCCTCCTAGTTCTCCCCCACCCCATCCCCCAAACCCGCACCTCCCGAATCCCCCGCCCTCTCCGCGCTCTGCCCCTCCTCCCTTGCTGCGGGCTGACCGCTCCACACCGCCGCAGCGCCTCGCGTCTGGACGGCTTGCAGGAGGCACACACCCTTACACCCACTCGGCCAGACCGCACCCCTGCCCAGCATGTCCGCGCTGGAGTGGTACGCCCACAAGTCCCTGGGCGACGGCATCTTTTGGATTCAGGAACGCTTCTATGAGTCGGGCAACCGCGCCAACATCTGGCTGGTGCGTGGTTCCGAGCAGGATGTGGTGATCGATACGGGCCTGGGGCTGCGCAGCCTCCCGGAGTACCTGTACTCCTCCGGCCTCTTGCAGGATCACGGGGCCAAAGAGGACGCGGCGTGCCGGCCACTGCTGGCCGTGGCCACACACGTGCACTTCGACCACTCCGGCGGCCTCTACCAGTTCGACCGGGTGGCCGTGCATCACGCCGAGGCCGAGGCGCTGGCTCGCGGGGACAACTTTGAGACCGTGACCTGGCTGTCCGACAGTGAGGTGGTGCGGGCGCCCAGCCCGGGCTGGAGGGCCAGGCAGTTCCGAGTGCAGGCGGTGCAGCCCACTCTCATCCTGCAGGATGGTAATGGGCCCTCACGGGCACGCGCTCTCTTTAAGGGAAGGGATTGGGAAAAACTGTTCGAGGGATGCATGTTGCAGACGTGCGTAGCTGTAAACTGGCTTGTTTTGTCACATCGCAGAAACACCACTACTGTTTCTACCTTCCCTGAGTAAACGCCTACTCGATCTGAGCCAAGGCCCTCGAAGCCTTCCTTACCACAGACCAGTTCTGGCACTGTGTGGCAAAGCCAAGTACTCAAATGAAAGCCGGCCCCACCCCCTAGTCAGATTCCTGTGTAAGGTATAGTAGTAACACTACAGAGGCTTGTGACTAGGGATTTTACATTCTTTTCCCGAACACTTGCCAGATTTCCAGGCGCTTTTATAGCGAAAAGACTTTTAAGGAATGAGTTCTCACCGAGTGCATGACAGGCTCTATGCTTTTGAGAACAGCTGACTTCATCCGCTCTCTGTCGGCGTCACTACTGGATATGAACAATTCCCACCTGTAGGTTTAGAAAGCCATTAGGGAGCAGTAGTTCTTATCTACTTGTGCATCCTTATCTTCCAGATAGATTTCTGTTCTTGATGTTGCCTCATTAGAGAAAAAGCTTGATAGTGAACATAAAAAGTAGAGAATGTGAGTCTTAACATTATGACAGATACATGGTCTGGTTTAAAGCAAGGCCTGAGAAAGATTAATGAGGTTATTTCCGGTGATGGTGAAGTATACCGACTAATGCATGGGTAGCCTTGGGCCTCTGGCTCTGTAAAAGAAAGGATGGGGATCAGAGAGAAACTAATGGAATAAAATACAATAGAGTAGGGTCCCAGCCCTCTCAACGCCAAGCAGACTTAAATAATTGAGTTAATTAGCCACAATAGCAATATTTGTATATTAAATTTCCTTTTTTCTTTTTAGAATATTTTTGTTGATTTCATTTTATCTTCACAACACATTTGAAGTGAGGTGGCTGACCCCTAATTAAATGGCTTGCCTAGAGTCCACGGAGCAAGATAGTGACAAAAGCTAGGATTTGAACCAAGGCACAATAGATCAACGCATGCATATCATAAATTCTATCCCATAAATATATCGTAATTATAAGTAGGATATGAAACCCCCTTCTCTCATTTTTATCTTGAAACCATTTTAATTGCCAATTTAATTTATTAAAACATTCCTCTAGGAGATAGAAAAATCCTGTTGCTGCAGTACAATAAGCTTACTTTATGAAGGACCAATATGACAAATAATGAAATATTTTACAAAAATCAGTTTATCTTATAGATGAGATCTTGAACACTTGAAATATAAAAAATAAAAAGCAAGATTCTGTACCTCACACTCCACCCACAAAGCCTCTTCATTAAAATTTCAAATCTAAAGATTAAAAAAAAAAGAGACTGATTTAGATGGGAGTCTTATATCATCTGACAATTTAAGATGAAAGAAAAGTACATTTACAGTATTCTTTGTATTTCTTGATAAAAGTGATACTTTTTAGAGTTAGGATTTCCATGTAGTTGATGGGTATTAAGATTAAATTAATTGTGGCACTGAGACCAAAAAATGTTTAAATTAGTATTTAAAATACATTACAGTTGTCTGAATGAATAAATTACTTCTGATTTATTCACTTTTCCTTCTGTGCCAACAATAGGAAATCAATGGTGAAAGAACGATAAGAATTATTGTTTTATAGATGAAGAGTTCAAGCAGGCCTGAATTATCATGCCTGAGATCACATAGCCAGTTTGGAAAAGAGCTGAGACTAGAATCCAGGTTTCCTAAATCCCAGTTTATGATAGAATTACAGCATTTTGGAAATACAGGGGGCCTGCAAGCTATCTGTGTGCTGCTTTAAGCCTTTGAAGGTGTGAAAAAAAAAAAAAGCTTGATATTTACCAAACACTTAAAGCTGAGAATATTGTGTTATATCAAAAGTTGTTTTTCATTAGAAGCAGAATGCCTCATCCTCTCAAGTAGTATCTAATTTTCTCTTTTCTCAGGAATATTAATTTCCTTTCTCTTCCGAATAATGTGGCCAGCTGACTTGCTGTTATCATAATCCAGATGGCTGGAAGGAGATATAAAATATTTATATGAAAAATTCATACACGGTTACACATATACATGACGAGCCCATATCTGAACAGCATACAGCTGTTGCTTTGGTTAGAACATAAGGAGCCTGAAGTCATTAGTTTATTACATTTCATTTAGTGAATTGATGATCACCTGTCATGAGGAAGCATAAATCTGTGCTGTATGATTAACCCAAAAACTAACTTGCAAAGGAGGGACAGGGAGAGATCATCATACGGTGTATCATCTTTGATGGAAAAATAACTCCCCCTACGAATAGTGAAATAGTATCCTCCTATAAGAAGATAGATAAACCCTAGGTTAATATAGTACCTTCTATAGTACTATTCTTAATATAGTACCATACGTCTTTTTATCTATTTTCCACAATAGTCAAATGATATGAAGTGGAGACATTTTGGCCCCTTATGTATAATTAATTTGCCCAGAGTCACCAAGATAATTACACAGTTATGACAGGCAGACTTAAGTCACTTGGGGAGGTTAAAAACAAAAAATAGACCCTAGAAAGGTAGCAGATTGAAAACTACTCCATCCAAAACCTAAGCCTGTAATAAAAGGACCTTGGTTTGTCTGTTTTAAGTATAAATCCATATTGAACTATTTTGAATGTTGATGTAAATGTAATGACTGAGTCAGCAGTTTTATCTTCTGCCAGCAATGGGGAATCAAGAGCCAATCCAGTCTGCACTGTAGGAGCTTTAAAAGGCTCGGGAATTAGCAGTAGATGGTATCTTAGTGGGGGCAAAGGAAAGATAAATAGTAAAATAAGTAGAATTGGTTGAAAGCCATTAAGAAGCTGTGAAAACTCTGGAATGTCCATGCACTTAGTTTGTTCTCTGGGGAGAATAAAGCAGAGGAGTGTTGATTAAGGGATGCCAAGTGCTACTGAGCTCAGCATTCAGTATGGAAAATAGGAGGAGTGTGTGTGTGTGTGTGTGTGTGTGTGTGTGTGTGTGTGTGTGCGCGCGCGCACGCATGCTCGTGCGTACAGGTGTATAAGGAAGAGAGAGAGAATGTATGTGTGTATGTGTATGTATGTTCCTTGTTAGTTTCAAGAAGGATGAGAGCCAGGTCTATACCCCGCCAAGTAGCAAACTGGAAGAATCTTACCTGGGAAATGTGACCAGGCCTAGAGGAAAAACTAAGATGCTGATCCCTGAGCAATCTTTGGCTTCGTCTGTCTACAGCACAGCCTTGATCATTAAGCCCAATGCATGTGCTTCAAGCAGCCTTTTCACCCCCCCCCCATTCTCAAATAGGCAACCAAGCATTATGAAAAATCCTAGAAAATGGTCTAACACGAGATCAAATACTAAAACAAATAGCATAAAGCAACTTGAGAGGGGAAGACAATCATTAATAGCATCAGGGGATAACAGAAGCTATTGCATTCAAGGTATTCAAGAGACATTAGGATGCTTTAAAAATAAGCAACAGAACAGTATGCACATGCACACACACACACACACACACACACACACACATGAGTTCTTGAAATTTAAAATGGTAGAAGTTTCTTAGTAGAAGAACTGAAGATAAAGTTGAAAAACTTTTAAAAAAAGGAGAAGAAAGGTAAAATGAAAACGAGAAGAGAACCAGTAGAGGACCCGTTTGGAAAATTCAACACTGGAATAATAGAAGCACAGATAGAGTAGAGAAAATGGAAGAAAAGAAAGCATAATAGTGATAATTCAAGAAAATATCCCACAATTAAGAGATGTAAAATTTCAGATTAAAAGAGCCCACAGAGTTCCTAGCGTGATGAATGAAAACACATCCAACCCAAGGCACATTATTGTAAAATTTCAGAATACTGGAAGCAAGCTTCCAGAAATTAAAATGTCATCTATACAGATCATAATGGCTTTAGAGCTAGAAAAGAAGAGCTATGCCTTATTTGAATAAAATTTATTTCCAACTTAGAATTTTACATCCATTTCACTAACAATCAGGTTATCAAAAAAGATTGCTGTTACTTAGAAAGTTACCAAGATATAATTTTATCCTATTTACTACCTTCAAAATAAGGAAGTAAAGCAAGAGGAAGATATGGAATACAGGAAACAGGAGATCAAATACAAGAAAAAGTTGAAAGGAAACATCAAGATGATGGCAAAAATGACGTTCTGACAATGATACTATGCCAGGCATAAAGAGCTCCACATTGGAGCAGTTAAATCGTTAACTCTTTTGGACAAGAAATATATATAAGAGTGGTGTTGGTAAGTGGAGAGTGAGGGGTAAAGAGAGCTAAAGATTCTTATATTTTATAGTGGAAGTCAACAAAATCTAAAATTTAAAAACCAAGAAATGGTAATATGTGAATGAAATCAGTATAGTATATCTAATTAGTAAATCAAGAAATGAAATATAAAAAATTTTTAGAGATAAATATATGTAGTAGAGGCAGCTATCGGAAGAAATAGCTAAAATTGTTAAAAAGTGGTTGATTCTTGGTAGCAGGATTGGAGCTAGAGTCAGAATGGGGCAAATAACTTTTTCTTAGATTTTAAGCCCTTCTGAAATATTTTGAGATGTGTACATATGTTTCTTTGATTAAAAAATGAAATAAAAATATGGGGTTACCAAGATGGGAAAGGGTATTTGGGAAGCCAAGAAAGGTCTAGTATGGCTGGAATCTAATGACAACTGGGTCAGGGTGAGGGCTTGGAAGCATAGGGTGTGTGTGTGTATTATATGCTTTTCTATGTGATATTTATTTATATATGGATATATGTCATAGGCAATTTTGAGTCTTGTAGGAGAGGTCTTATTGAAATTCTACAAGTGAGCACTATAAGCATAGGGGAGGCATTTACAAAGCTATAAGGTATTGGAAGAATCTAATACTCACCCATTATGGCCTTATCAACTGCTTACAGTTGGTATCCATTTTGATAGGTGGGCAC